CTGAGATTTCAAAACAATTTATATTATATTAGACAATGGAAGTCCGGACCAATGGAATGCACCAAGAAACATTGTCAACCACCTTCAAACAAATTGTTGAATTGATAAGGTTTTACCAGTTCAGTTGTTAAAGCAATCAGTCAAAATTAACGATTGTAAAATCTCAGTAGATCAATTGTTACTCTTCCAGAGGATAACTGTAACCGAATATTTTGAAAGTAACCTCGTAGGATACCTTCAATGTGAATTAATTCCGACATCATTATTTGATACTAATGACATGAGAAAAACCACGAAAGCCACATTATATGATAACATGACACCTGTTAATATCGAACTTTGTGAAAATAATGTGACCTATCTCATAGATGGTAGATTGCTTCTGCATTGCGTCGTATGGAGTAAAGGCAATGCTTTTTCAGTAGTTCTAGATGAATACGTTAAGTATTTACAAATATATTATGGTACGAAAACTGCTGTTTTATTTGACAGATACTTAGACTACACTAAAACATAAAAGCAATGGAATCAAATCAATCCAATAAAAAAAACTTGATTTCTATTAAGGACAAAATACAAGCAACACAGGACAATCCTTAAGGCGCTCCCAGAGCGGTGCCTGTGCGAAAGTAGCGATTCACATTGGATTTGAATCGCTGGAGAAAAAATCATTTTGTAAAAACGTTCTCAGGAAGTTTATTCTACATAAACGCAGTTCTCCAGATGAAAGAGTTCTCAAAGAGTGAAGTTCGAGGTGTACAGAGTTGAACCTCAAAACGATGAGCAACCACAGTCCGTCGCGTATTTCTGATATGCACCGCTCTTGGTGGAAGTATTAACAGAAGAGAGACAAATCTCCAACCTTCTTTCGATGTTCCGGGTTATCAAGGTCGCACGTCATGTTCACGTCTCCAATCAGGCGGATGGCTCTTTTCTGGATAGAATCCAGCAACCTTAGGGTATGTTTAGAGGCAGAGCTCTATACATGATAACAATACTCCAAAGTAGGTCTGATCTGAGCTTTATAAAGCATCAAAAGTTGCTGAGGTGTGTATAGTTTTCTGGTTCGGAACAGTGTTCCAAGCTTTTGAGCAATTTCAGCGACATGATTGTGCCAAGACATATTGGTGTAACCCCAACAAACTTTTCGAAGCAAAAAGCGGAATTGTCACACCTGACATTATTATATCCGATTCGGAGACATTTATCTTCTTGGAGAAAACCGATGCGTGGGTTTTTGAAGCATTGAATTGAATCTGGTTACTTTCACCCCAATTCGAAATCACTTCTAGATCCTCATTAAGACATGCAACCCACTGCTGCCGGGGAAGATGTGCCTCCGTAGCCGATGTCCTGGAATCCAAATGAAATGACGAACTGCTGTCGTCAGCAAAGCAATATATTGGATTCTTTGTTTTTTCCAATATATCGTTGATATATTGGGGGCAATATGGATCCCTGGGTAACACCAGCGTTGTTGGTGAAAGTATTCGAGAGATATCCATCGACGGCCACTTGCAGGGAACGCTCTTTCAGGAAGCTAAAGAGCCATACACAGAAATGATCCGACAAGCCATAGCATCGAAGTTTGGCCAGCAAATCCTCATGCCACACACGATCAAAGGCCTTAGAAATATCAAGCATGAGAGCTCTTGATTCTCCATGTTTCTTGACTGCGTTATTTCAAATAGGGGTGACATACGATAGAAGGTCGCCTGTTGATCTTTGAATCCGAAAGTCTTATTGATGATCGCTCAAGATGTTGAAGCGTTGCAAATATTTGATAGCATATAAATATATAGTTATTTGGAAGATTTTTCTTGCCTTTTTTGGGAATAGGCTGAACGCGAGCATACTTCCAACAAGAAGGAAAAACCCCTTTTTCGTAAGACAGGTCAAAAGACTGCAAAATACTGGTGGAAGTTCATTTGCGCACTTTTTAAGTACGATGACGGGCACTTCATCAGGGCCAGACGCCTTGTTGATATTGAGCTGTTTCAAAATTCTCCTGACTAGACGCTGTCGAAAAGTGATTTCTGGCATTGTGGATTCTAGTGTGGGAGTAGAATATAGAATAGACTAATCGGAAAGTTAGATAGTGTAAATATTATAACAAGACAAGCAGGAGATGATGCTATCGAAGAATACAAAGTATAGTAATTGAAAAGTCAGACAGTCTAAATATCGTAACAAAACAAGCAACAATCCAAACAAGGAAGGATTTCCGTCATCATTGGAGAAGACATAGAATTGCTCGTTATTTCATTTGGACGCACTCAACTACTTCAAGAAGATATTTTTGAAAATTAAAAGTGACAATTTCAAAGCAAGAAATTAAACGTTTGTTTGAAGGTGATTGACAATGTTTCGTGATGAATTTCACTAGTTCGGACTTCCATTGTCTACTATATAAAATGATTTGAAATCCCTGAAACAAGTAAAAAAGAATAATTAAAAAAGAATAGTTGAAAATAACAATTATATTAAGCAACATTCCTTTAATTTTTTTATTTATTCAATTATTATATTTTTACTTGTAGGTTACTTCACTATCATTTCATTTCAGATTTATTGTTGCTTAATATAATTGTTATTTTCAACTATTTTTTTTTAATTATTCTTTTTACTTGTTTCAGGGATTTCAAATCATTTTATATAGTAGACAATGGAAGTCCGAACTAGTGAAATTCATCAAGAAATTAAAGTTGAGTCAAACCTTCAATTTTACTTAAAACAAAAATCAAACACAATATACAAAATTTTATGTATGGATTGTTTCGAAATATATAGGACAGTCTTATCAGTCGCATAACTTCACACAAAAGCAACTGCAGATGAACCATTAATTCTTGCGCATTCAATTAACACGTCAATACGGACACACCAAACTCTTAGATAGGGAAACAAACTTAACTAAAATTACATTTTTAGAAATGACCCACATCAATAATGAAGAACATCGCATGAACAAGAAAACAGATCTCAACAATTTGAGCAAAATTTATACATTTCTACTTAAATACTAGAAATATAATAGAAAATCACCCAGTATTCAGAAATTTGCCACATGACACTCTGTCAAAATCTGACATATTTAAAAAAATGTATGTTTCTTATGAGAGTTTCTATTCGTTTTCTTCCAGTTTCTTTATTATTCTCTCGTTAGTATGTGTTCCATATTTATATCTTTATGAAAAAGTATATTGTAATCTTATATTGTAAACTTGTATTGTGTATTGTCTTATACTGTAATCTTATATTCAAATACTTTCTTATCATCTTAGTCTAACCTGTATAGAACAGCGATCTTGCAATATTTGGAGTTTTTCAGGTAAATTTACCTACTTTCGGGACCCATCATCATTATACCATTATAATGCTATTTTAATATCATATAACTGAGTCTTTCTGACTCCATGCAATTATTGATTACTTACACATTACTTTATTTGCTTTGAAGGTGTCTACCGTAAAACGACAATGAAAAATTGATATTATGAAATCTTAGATATCCTTAGTGGTGGGTTTCGCGGTATAAGGTATTGGCTAAATTATTAAAATAAAACCAATCAGACCATTGAGTTATTAAACCCAAATCAAATAAAGGGAAGAGAGTCAGAATATTACTACACTACCTACACTACACAATGGGATTAAACCAGGAAGTTTATTGCAGTGGATAAGCCAATACCATTTCGTGTGAAACATTCCATAGGATCATTTTTTCTGGTTAACTTTAGCTCTCCTTCACTTCAACGTTTCGGATCAAATGAATGATTTTTTCGCAAATACAAAGCAAATACAAGCAAAAAGTTCTCAAAAATTTATTTGTTTCAACTTAATGTTAATATCATCTTTGCTGAAATCACAGAATATATAGAAGTATATAAGAGTATCAGAATGTATAATATGCTGATCTAACAATATTTTGAAAATGTTTCCCAATGAATGCATTTTTCACTACAAAATTCTCATTTTCAACCAACATAAATTAGGAATTAACATGAGATGCCAAATATAGTTGAACATCCCCTTTTTTTCAAACAAAGATGATAACATTTTCAAAATATTTAAATTATAGATATTTGATATAATCTTTCATTGAAATTTAACCACAATAAGGAAAATGGTAGTATTCAAAATCATTCTTTCAGTCAACGAAATTATAATACCACTCTCCTGAATTCATAATTTTTGAAAATATAACATAACCCCTCAATATATATAGCTCACAATGTTTTGGAATCTTCCTATGAAACCAGTCAGGTTTTCGTAGTAAACATTCTTGTGAAACAGCCTTTACAACTGACAGTTACTAGTTGGAACCAATTGATGGATAAAGGAAAGTATATCGTGGCAGTGTTCATTGATCTGAAACGAGCATTTGAAACAATAGATAGAGGTATTTAGTGCAGAAATTAAAAACATATGGAATTAAATCAACTGCTTTGAAATGGTTGGAAAGCTGACTGAATAATAGAAAACAGATTGTGAAAATAAATAACCAGTTTTCTACTAAAAGACAGATAAATATAAGTGTCCCACAAGGTAGTGTAATTGGACCACTACTATTTGTACTATACATCTCTCTGTTCTGTTTAAAATCTGTTTTTTCCGTTAAACAGTTGTCGCACCCCTACGAACGACAACCTCAGAAGTCGAAACTTGTGCGAGCTAAAGACTAACGAGGTCTCACCTTTTAACGTGTGATCCCTAACACGGGTTGGGTGATAGCAAGTGAAAATCGATCGTTCAGCCTGGGGTTTGAACCAACGACCAACACGGCGATCGATTTGAATGTCTAAACAGAGCACCCACGTCAAACCGACCGGCTACTGACCGACCATGAATGACATCAACTGCTCTGTTAATTGTGAATTTATTAACCTTTATGCAGATGATACTCTGTTGGCAGTTAGTGGTGATTGTGTGGATACTTCTGTTCAAAAAATGAATAATGAATCAATTTAACTTTGAAAAATTCTTGAAGAGGAATAAGTTGAAACTTAATGTACAAAAAACAAAAGCTATGATCATTTCTCATAAACAATAGAACAAAAAATATAGATAAAAATAAAATAACTTTAATTATAGAAATTAACATTGGGATTGTATTGGATGAAAATGTATCAATCCAAAAAAAAAAATTCTAAAATAACCTGTTTCTTCTCAAAAATAACTGCTCAAATATCTATGAAACCAAGATTGACAGTTTTTAATAGAATCATCAAACTGCATTTTGATTATTGTTCTACAATACTATTTCTATTAGACAATAACAGTAAAGTTTCTAAAAAACTAATCAATGCAGTGTATTGTATGATTTTCACTATAAAGGTTTTTTACAAAAACCGCGACACATGTTTCGGTATACAATAGCTTCCTCAAGCCTGAGGAATATTGTAATAAGAAATGAAGTACCTACTTCAAAACGTAAGTGGAGCCAAAAGTTTAGGTAAACTGTTGGACTCCAATTTAAAATTCGCAAATACATAAATCAGCTTATTCAACGTGTATACTTCACTCTTAAACTATATATGGCAATAGATATTTACTCCCTATTCAAATAAAGTCAAATTTGTGTGACTCAGTTATAAACTGAACTTCGCCTTTTGCTTTGGGCCAAATTCACATTATATATGTATTCTTTACATTCTATTAATGCAAGTAATTATTATTATTATCATTATTATCATATATGTGAAAATATTCTGCTCAACTAGAAATCCAGTCAAATTAAAGCGTTCCTTATGAGATCATGCACTGCATAAAAATCGTTCAGGCAGTGAAGGTTTTTAAAAATGTCAAGCATGAATTACTCATAATTGAAAAAAAACTCATTGAACAAATCAAATTGTCGAGTTGAATATGTTCAATAGTATCAAATTTCTCTGCCAGTGTTTTCTGCGAACAATAGAATGTATAATCTTAAATGTAGTTCGAGTCTCTAGTGATTGGGTGGGCTAAGAATCACGTTAGTTGCAAGAAATTATGCAAACCCAATTGAGATACATTTTTATTCTGAAAAGTGAACAATTTCCGTGTTAGGAATCACACGTTAAAAAGTATGACCTCGTTAATCCTTAGCTCGCACAAGTTTCCACTTCTGAGGGTTGTCGTTCGTAGGAGTACGACAGCGGGTTAACGGAAAAACAGATGTCAAACAGATAAACCAAAAAATACTGATAACTAATCATTCAATTCCATTACAATTACAACATAGTTTCGAACATTGTGGTTGAATTATCTGATGTTTATTATTAGCGTCCTTGTGCTGAAACTCTCATAATATTGATGGAAAACATAGAAAAACCAACAGAATTGTGTAGAACTACACTATCGGTTGTAGGTACATGAAACATGTCTAACAATTACCCAAATCCAAAATTTAAAATTCATCTATTTCAAGTACCTAAGTGTATCGATTCTCTTAGTAACATTATCTGAAATTAAGATCATTCAATATATAAAGGGAATGAATACATAGAGGAATTGTAAGTATATTCAACTGTCATGGGATATTTATCAAAAAAATATTTCATTGATTTCAATCGGTTTTCCTGAAAATGTGTTTTGTAGGCTGTCCAATATTTTGATAACATCCCATTTATTGTTTTCAATAATTTGTATGACTGTTACTGTGTTACTCATTCACAAACTCATTTCAATGTTCTGTTATATTTATAAGCGAAACTAGTAGAGTAGATATATTTTTATGAATATTTTTCGCGTATATATCACGTATAGGTTATATTGAAGATTTTTTTTAACAAACGAACAAATGATATTTGACGAAGTATACTTTTGTTGTTTGTTGTTTCTCCAACTAAGTTGGTATCATAAGGAAATCAAAATTGATCATCTTTTGATGACGTCAACAACGTTTTACTAACGGTTTTTGAAACGCGAATCAGTACTGGAATGTTTGGGAAATGTTCTGTTGATTAACAAGTATTATGTACCTACCAATAGATACCTACAAGTACCTAAGAACGATTTTGGCATTGTCTATAGATATCTCCGCAAATATCGATAATTTCAAAAATTAACAACACTAGTCTGATTTACAAATATTACCGGAGTTTTAATGCAACACCAAACCGTTATATCAACACCTCGACACGGGTTTCGATCACCAAGTGATCATCTTCAAGAAGAAGTTAAATCTTCCCCAGTAATATTCATTACTACACCAAAGGTTCCAAACAGTGCATCAAAAGTAATTTATTCACGTTCATAGGTTCTATAAAATTTGTGAATGACCTTGCTGAACATGCTCTACCATCGAGAAAAAATTATTAGGAATCGACAATTTGTGATTGATTTTTTATAAAATGCCGTTTTCCAAAATCTCTGAACCGGCTTAAAATTTCCACAAAACACATTTCATCAAAATGAACGATGTCAAAAAATATTTCATCGCCGTTTTTTAAATTCTCGGTTCACTTTATCAATGGCTCTCTATACGTTATTTACAGAAACGCCATTCTTTTATTTTTAATGAACATTCTTGAATTTTAACAGCCCTGGTTTCGCCTATTTTTCGAGACGATAAGACAAGATTTGACTTTCCCATCAAACATGAATATTCAGAGCAGATCCGTCTAGGAGGTTCGGAGAAAATGAAACCAATTTTGTCGATTCTGTCGTCCGTCCGTATGTGTGTCTGAATATATGTCTATCTGTCCATCTGTCTGTCTGTCTATCCGTCCGGCTGTGTGTCGTACGCAGTATCTTTCAAGGGAATTAATATAGGATTTTTAATGGAACATGAATCTTTTGAAGGTCAAAAATTATTTTGTATCAACTATCTTCAGAACGAAAGAAAATATTCAAAAAATTATATGATCAATTTTTTAGACATATTGATGAGTTCAGTCATATATATTCTTGACTGAAAATCAACACTTTTCAGCTAGAAACTAAAGTCTCTATAAAAAAATTTTCACTGAATTTTATCACTTTCAATTTTCCTAGATAACACTTAGACTTACAGGTATAATCTGTCCTCTAGACACCTTCAGAGGACAAGAATACTTCAGTCAATAGAATTCAATTTTAACTCACCTCTATGTCTGGTAAATCCATGCTCACTTTATGCATTGTTAGTAAAACGTACGCCTTTCACTGCTACAAATATATTTTTAAACCTTATTGCAAGGTCTATGGTTCGAGTGAGGTTTATCTTATCTTTTATTGCATAGTTACCAGATGTGTATCTCAAGTTTTTCCACTTCAGCACTAATAGATACAAATAGACTAAAACGATAGCTTGGATCGAGCTGGCTCGATTCATTCTTAAACCGTAATTGAGTTGGATTCATCATTATATAAACAATGGTCCTCTTATCCGGTTTTCAACCTGTAATCTGTAATGGCTTGAGAGTAACATTTACTCCAGTGAAATTAGTCAGAACTGTTTTCAATTTGATTTTGCATAAATTAAAGTTCGGTATTTCGAACTTTGTCGGAAGTATTGTTAATCGCGTTTTTGCTCTGATTTCTAAATGAAAAGTACATCATATTGAAATAATCAAACCTCTGCTGCTGAACGACAGCGATGCAAGTCTTTCATCCCAACGATCTAATTGAAACTATTTTACCTGTTGTTTGTATACCCAAGGAACATGTACATAAAGAATTTTTTTTTCAAAAATTGCTCATATCCAAATTTCACCAGACAAGTTTTTTGAGCTTATTGGCATCATCAGTACATGTGCAACACTTGATTGCACTCGAAGAAGTTATTGAATGAAAGTCATCTTTTGTGGAAAAATCAAGAATTTTTATTGACACTTTCTGGGACTTTTCACCTTCCGCAATCTGAAAGAATAAAAATTTGTAATGGAGAACCTCAGACAGATGTGGAAACGGCAAATTTCTAGTTTAACCCGATAAATTAGATCAATTTCCACTCTTCACTTCTCACCAGACATAAAAATATATGCTGATTCTTTGAATTTGGGCTTCTCAGTTTGTGGTTCATTGAAGATCATGTCAGTTTTCTTTCAATCTTCTCGATGGTCACCATAAAGTTTCAAAACGTTGACAATTTTTACCCTAATAATTGCCTATTCTTAACTATCTTTTTTTTAATTCATTAACCTTTCAGTAGTCGCGCGATTTTTTGTAACAAGTTTAGTCGCGCAGTGTCTCTGAGACCGGGGTCCATAATGTTTTTTTCAACAGTTTTTTTTTTCATTTGAATGTTCAATGACGCATAAATAACTTAATTAAATGATGTTTAATGAGTTTTGAGTTGATATTTTTTTCTCGTGTGTTAAAGGACAACTGAAAAAAAGGATCTGAAAAATATAACATTTTATTGAAATACATAAATGAAAGAAAATAAAAAAATCTAAGAAAATATAAAAAGAAACAAATATTCTAAGTTACATTTGACACGTGTAGCACTAAAACATGCAATTATTCAACCTCCATCGGGGGTTGTTTGCACCCTGAACATAGTGATGTAACATGTTCCAAACATATATATTTCCTACGAAGATAACAAAAAAATCTTGTTTTTCTATTTTTTCGCCATCCACATTCCTCACATCGACCTGGTGGAATATTGACTTCAACAGCAGTTGATTCTACGCCTGTGATTTCTTGAAGGCGAAGCTTCAGTATCCGTGGAAGACCTGTCAAACATGCCCGTGCAGCTAAATGAGGTTTAATCAGATCATTTGCTAAATCGCGTAAAAAATTTCTTCTTAAAATGTTGATGGTCGGATTATTCGCACAAAAAATTACTTGGGAATTAATGCCCCCTTTATTCAGCATCAAATAAAAAACGACCATAGGCCATCGCCTGGTCCCTCTAGCACAATTGTACGAAGCACAGAGTTTGTCCACGGTATCTACGCCTCCTTTGGTCTTGTTATAGTCTCTTATCATAACTGGTTTATTTAGATTATTTGTACTTTCATCGATCTCATCTTCTTTATGATAACTAGAAACCAGTAGTATATTTTTATTCTTTTTGGGTAAATAGGAGACTAAAGTACAGTTTGGTCTGAATCCAAACATACTGGAGTGTGGTGGTCTAAGAAATGGTATTGTAAATTGCAATGGCAGACCTCTTCTATTTTTCTTTATTGTACCATATGAAGTTAATTTGAAATTTATTTGTAACTTGTCAACAAGAGAAATCGACATAAACCAGTTGTCCATAGTTACGTTTCGTCCACTGCCTGATATGTGACTGCACATCCTGGTAACTACATCTTCTGAAGCATTGGATACTTTATATATTCCCTCAGGTTGTGTACCAACGTAAACCTCCAGATTGCTTGTGTAAAACATTTTTGCATCGCACAAGGCAAATAATTTTATACCATATTTTGATGGTTTCTTTGGCATATATTGGCGAAAGGCACATCTTTCGCAAAAAGCTGGAAGCATTTCATCTATAGTTACGAACTCAGAATGGTGATACCCTTTTACACAATGAGATACAAAGAGGTCAAATAACTTACGAATTGGTGCCAATTTATCCAACGCTCTTCCCTCTAGTCTAGTCTCAACATTGTCAAATTTTATATTTCTCAATAAAAATCTAAATCTTTGTAAAGACATTGTCAAATGAAAGATTTCAATTCCGTATCCATCTTTTCTCCATAGATCTTCTAGGTTCAATTTATTTCCTTTCATAATTCCAGCCATATAAATTAATCCCAACATGGTGGTAAATTTGTAGAGTAGGATGTAAACCACAAAAAGTGAGTTTTTCAAATTTTAAATTTTATTGTCAGTATTCTATCGTTGAAGAAATTTATTATATTTTGAGAGTCAACCTCAATGTTATTTTTGAGAGTGGTCCAGTCAGTTTTTCGTAGGAAACAAACTTTCTGTCCAATATTAGGAAAAAAGAATGTTCCACATAGTTTGACATTATAATGGTCACTTCATATGAGGACGCTAATTAGTAGAGTTTACATCGAACTGACTTTGAAAACCGTTTTCCTTGTCGATGTTCCCCGTCCGTGAACTTGTTAATCCTTCACAGTCATATTGTTGAATGTTAACATCGTGGTTACAAATCGACAAAAAACAAAAGAAGCAAGCCATAGTTCCGCCTTGGGGTACACACGCGAAATAAGTGGGTAAAAGTAAGAAACACTACCTTCATTAAACAAACGGACATACATCAAACGTATAATTGCACTTTTGGCTTGAAATGGCGACTGACGCGGCTGCGTGGGGTAGACCAAAGAACGATGTGCCGAGAACAGTAGCTGAGTCATGTAATTAACCGTTTATCCTGCAATCATTTACAGCAGGAAAGGATTCATTAGGCAGAAGATTGAGATTCTCCAGTCATATCCTCGAAGGCGATACGACGATTTATCAACGACTTTTTTTCACTCCAAAGAATAATAGTTCCTAAAAGAAAAGTGACAATTGTTTATCAGATTTTGGACTACTTAAGTGTGAAGAGCATAGTGTTGAAAATCAAAAAAACTATATTCACTAGAGGGTAACTCTCATTTTCCATGATTTCAAAACAATTTAGTTGGGATAATTTTTTTTCTTTTCAAAAATTCGAAAAACAATAGTGAGGCACTTCAGGAATATTTCTTGAAGCGATCGGTGCAAGTTGCATGAAAATCGGATAACTGGTTGAGAAACTATAAGTAAAATACGTTTCAAGTGGGCATGGATTCCTCTTAAGCGACTCTTTAGACGTTTATGGTCTTATACAAGTTATTAATGCAAGTGCTATGTCTGATCATTGCTTGGTTTATTGGGAACTTTACTTTAAATTGAATGAAACAAAATCTGAAATACACTACTACCGAGATTTTGAAAATTTCAATAATCTCTTTCAGGCTGATTTTATTAGGGTACCTTTCCATGATATTTTTAGTTTACAGGATATTGATGAAAAAGACAATCAGCTCTCCTCCATAATTTTGTCATTATTCAACGAATATGCCCCTGTGAAAGTAGGCCGTTTGACTAAAAAACTTGCTCCTTGGCTGACTTTTCCTATTGAAATGATGATAAAAAAAGAGAATCTGCAACTAGTCAAGTATAAGAAAACAAAATCACCTACTGATTGGTCGCGATACAAGGAGTTACGTAACTTCACTCTTACTACTATCAGAAGTGAAAAAATGCATTTTATGATAGACTTTTTCATAGCCATGATTCTGAACATGGACTAAGTTGAAGAAAATTAGCAATGAAAGTAGAAATATTGACCTACCAATTACTCTCCATAAAACTGAAGAAGTGAATGGTTATTTCAGTTCAGTATTTGTTGATGAAGAAGTTGATGATAATCTCCTGGAACTTTACGAAAATACAAAATTTTCTTCATTAAAGGATTCTGAAACACCATTTAGATTACATTATGTCACGATCAACGAACTAAGAGAAATTTTGTTTGGAGTGAAATTAAATGGTATTGGCTTTGATGGTATAACCATCAATATATTGAAATACTGTGGTTCCACTATTGATATCTCTCTCACCCACATTGTAAATTATTGTATAGAAAAAAACTATTTTCCTAATTCATGGAAAGTTGCCATCATCAGACCCCTAGCAAAAGTAAATAATCCCAAGGAATTTTCCGATCTCAAGCCTATATTATGTGCAATGCCAAAAATTGTGGAATAGGCCATTCATCGGAAATTCATGCTGTATATATATTATAACAACATAATTCATAAATGTCGAGTAGGTTTCCGACCAGATTATATTACATCGTCCGCTTTAATGCAGATTACATATGATATTATTAGAAATACTAATAATTAAGATCTAAAAGCACTAATAACCATAAATTTTTTGAAGGCTTTTGACGCTTTACTCTATTTCAAACTGAAATATTCCGGTTTTTCTGATGATAATATTTTTCTTATGAACTCCTACTTGATTATAAACAATACTATGTCAACTAGTAGTAATCTAGATTCAGCCGTACCGCAAGGTTCAATATTGGAGCCATTGCTTTTTATTCTATACAGAAGTGATATATTAACCTTGGTGAAGTACTGCAAAATACAGGCTCATGCAGATGATACCCAAATATATTCAAGTTTAAATGCGAAGTATTGTCTATCAGTTCAAAATCATAATAACAATGATCTCAAATCAATAAATCGCCTAGCAGCTAAGTATAGGTTGAAACTCAATTATAATAAGTGTAATCTAACACTATTTGGCAATGGACATATCAGAAGGAATCTGTCACAAAACATCAATTTTGAAGTAGGTAATACCACGTTATCAATAGTTGAATCTACGGAAAATTTAGGTATAATTTTTGATTCTAATTTGAAATTCATTTCCCATGTTTTTTACTCAAAAAATCTTAAGAAAGTTTTAGGTTGATTTACGCCCATAGGCATTCCTTGAATCAATCAATACGTAAATTGTTCACTGAAACTTTAGTTCTTTCGAGATTCAGTTATGGAGATGTTGTCTATGGAAATCTACTTACAAAACTTGAAAAAAGTCTCATTCAGAAATTTCGAAATTTTTTGTTGCTGATTTATATTTTCACTGAGAAAATTCTATGTCTCCAATAAGTCCGCTGAACTGAAATGGTTTTCAATGTCTAACTGCAGACAATATAATTTTTGTTTATAACTATATAAAATAATGAAATGAAAAATTCCTTCGACTCTATACGGAAAAGTGATACCTAGGTCGATTCTTCATTCACATAAGAAACAAATATCATGTGCATGTAGCACATCATTCTTCAGACGTGTAACTGAAATCTTTCAACTGTTCAGTCGTCAAAATGCACAATTCATTCCTCATCAATTGGCTTCATTTATCTGAATATCATTTTGAACGTCATTTGAGAATCAATTTCCTTCAACAGCCAGGATAAATTATATAATGAATCCGGTACTAATAAATTATTGACTATTTCATAGGTTTTCTTTTTACAACCAAGAATTACCCATCCTTTGCACTTGGCTACCCCATAGTGATGATGGGGCAAAAGTTCGAAACATGTGTCTATAATTTGTCATTTTTTAGTGATATGTTCGATAAAATCATATCTTACTCTGTTACCCATTTATAAATTTGATGAAAAGTATAATTGTAACACTTCTTGTTTTTTTGAATAGGAACTGGAGGAAGTTGCTGGGCCTCTCCTTCATAGAACTGCCGATACGAACAAATTTCTACGAGCCGATGCAAATGCAGCTCTGGACGTCATGTGTGAACAACTACCACCGATCCGGGTTATATTAGTGTTGACTTCTAGAGGTTGTAATCACCAAAACAATATAGTTCGATCAGCATCTATGCGCCTTATGACGAATGTAGTGAAAAAATTAGGAGCAGACAAAATATTTTCAATGAATAGAGAATTTAGGGATAGAGTTATTCTTGCCGGTGCAAACTCTCTTGGAGACGGAAGTTTAGAAGCAAGAAATCATGGAAAAATGTTATTCTCGTGCCTCATTACGCATCCACACTTTCAGAAAATTTTGATCGAAACCGTGCCTCAAAATACTTTGAGGCATATAGCTAAAACTCTCAATTCTATCAAACCTCATCCGGGAACGTGAAATATTCCAATAACTCAAGTTAAGCCAAGTTTACAAATCTGGATGTAAATGTTCTAGTCTAAACATTATAAACACATATCAGGATCTGACCAGACTACCTACCTCAACAAAAAATGTTGAATTTGTTTGAAAAAATAATTATTGACAAATTTAAATTAGTTATTTTTATTTTTACCTTCTTAAATCTAATATAAAGAATATAGTACTTAGGCAATAGTGCAAAATTGAATTGATATAAATAAAAATTTTGTAGAAAGATATATGCAAGAATTCGCATAGAACTGAAAATAGTTCGAAAATATTTTTGCAGTTTCCTCATGAATAGTATCATCATGGTTGGAGATCATTATAATGTTACAAAAACATTTGAATATTTTTTCTATGAATAACTATTCCTGAAGTATGGCCATTTCAAAATTTGAAAAAGTCATATTCTAAATAATATTGTGGAAATATGATGACCTATGGCGGTCAAGAACTCTACCCTTAATTTAGCATCGATGCAACGACGATGCAACGACATAATATCACTGTGACCAACACGAGGCGTACGGAGCGAGAGGGGACTGCGGTAGCTGATTCCTCGACTTGATAATTTTGATGATGTCAATATGTATTATATTTGATGATGATGTATTATAATAAGACAGTTGTTAGTAAGACCTGGTTGGGAAAGGACCCCCTCATCTACAACTCCTAGGCAATAAACCTAGTATCTAAGTATTCTGGTGTATTGGTAATATGGATGCTAGATATAGTGAAACCTCAGGAATGCCAAATGCTGTTTTCTAGCCTATTTTGAATTTTGGTCTTGAAATTTTTACCTTTTTCTGAACAAATATGTAAACAGTGGAGAATTTCAATATTTCATTTTTGATCGTTCTTTCATAACCTGTTCGAATTTTCAGGTCTTTAATTATTATTGTAAATTTACCACTTTTATGTACATTTCAATCGCATTGAAAATGAACAATTAAATCATGATTCATACTACATGTTTTGATGTGCACTGGATGATTGATATTTTTCAAACTTTGTTCAGTGTACAATCGTAAAAACTTACTTCTCGAAAGCTACTAACTATTTTGTGCAAAACAGCTATCGCTTAGACAAGGGTTTCAGAAACTCTTCATTTGCTAA